GCAGCAGCAGCAGCAGCAGCAGCAGCAGCAGCGGCCGGAGGAGTAGCAGCGGCGACACGCGCTGCTGCAGTTGCTGCTGCAGCAAATAACACACAAACAGCAGCAGATGTAAACATACAACAAATAAATGTGTAGATAAATTTATTATTATCTTTGTTGCGTCCCCCGCAGCGTTGCAGCAGCAGCTGCTGCTGCACGCCCCGCCCCAGCTGCTGCTGTTGCTGCAGTTGCTAGTGGTCTGCTGCTGCTGCTGCTGCTGCTGCCGTAGCAGCAGCCGTAGCAGCAGCAGCAGCAGCAATACAGTGTGCGTCCGTTATTCATCTGCTGCAGCTGCAGGCAGAAAGAATAAGAGTTTCTTTTTATTTATAGATTGAGGAGCTGCTGTTTTGCTCTGCTGCTGCAGTTCGAGCATTTCTTCCCATTATAGACTCTTATGTTTGCTTATATAGCACAGCAGCAGCACAGCAGCAGCAGCAGCAGCACAGCAGCAGCACCACTGTGGCGGACCTGTTCTTCCCACGATGGCAGCAGCAGCAGATCCGACTCCATGCGCAGCACAGCAGCTGCAGCAGCTGCTGCTGCAGGAGCTCCCCGCCTCTTCTGCTGCAGCAGAGCAGCAGCAGGGGGCCTCCATAGCAGACTGGCCTGCTGCTGATGGGGCTGCTGTGGGGGGCCCCTCAGATGCTGTGAAGCGGCTGCAGCACAGCAGAGGTGCAGCAGCAAGAGCAGCAGCAGCACCGTTTGCTGCTGCTCTGTGCGGTATACGCAGCAGCGATGGCAGCAGCAGCAGCGCAGCAGCAGCAGACAGCAGCAAAAGCTGCAGCAGCACCAGTCAGCCTGTCAGTAGCCCTTCTGCTTCGGAGGTAGCAGCAGCAGCAGCAGCAGAAATAGACGATGATGATTTCCTGCTGCAGCAGCAGCACAGCAGCAACGGCAGCAGCAGCAGCAGCACTGGCAGCAGGTTAGCATCACGACGCCCTCTGGCTCTGCAACCGGGTCTGGCGTCTCCTGCTGCTGCAGCAGCAGCAGCAGCAGCAGCAGCAGCAGCTTCTTGTCGCCCCTCTCCTTCTGCTGCTTCTGAGGCCAGCTCAGCATCCCTCACCCGCAACACGAGAGCCTCAACGCGGCCGAAGCGGCAGCTATCACGGCGTGATGGAGAGCAGCAGCAGCAGCAGCAGCAGCAGCAGCAGCAGCAGCTCTGCAGCAACATGGGCAGCAGCATCAGCAGCAGCAAACACCAAAAACGCTCCAATCAGCAGCAAGCAAGAAGCCGTCGTTCTTCTTCTCTCGATCAGCATGCATTAGATGCTGCTGCTGCTGCTGCTGCTGCTGCTGTCACGGGCACTGATCCCGCAGCAGCAGCAGCAGCAGCAGCAGCAGCAGCAGCAGGATGCAGCAGCAACATGAACGGAAACAACAATGCTGTTGCTGGCCTCAATACACTCAAGCAGCAGCAAGAAGAGCTGCTGCTGCGCAGCACCCCCCGGGACCGCAGCAACTCGCGGGCTGACGAGTGGCTGCCGATGCGTGCTGAGAGGCAGCAGCAGCAGCAGCAGCAGCAGCAGCAGCAACAGCAGCAGCAGCAGCAGCAGCAGCAACCCTCAGATAACCAACTCAGACAACTCGGTGTACACTTCAGCCGCTACGATAACTCCTGGGTAGCCCGTCTCCATGTCGGTGAGTCTTTGCTGCTGCTGCTGCTGCTGTTGCTGCTGCTGCTGCTGCTGCTGCTGCTGTTGCTGCTGCTGCTAGATAAACCTTATCTCTCCCTTACACAGGGGTGA